ACCGTGCTCTTCATTTATACGTATTTTCTCCTCCAAAGCCTGGATACACTGTCAGACTTGTGGCCGCTGCGCCCTGCCTGACCACCCATGTGGTCAGAGTGAAGTAAAGCAGGGCTGCTTCAGCTGTGGCAGCCTGCAGCACAAGCACAGGTTCTGTCCCGTCAAACAGAAGCCGAAGAGCAGCGGGTGAGCCACGCGACAGTCCAAGACTCCCGTCCATTACGCTTCACACGACGTGAAATATTTTCAAGCGTTAACCCGTCTGCCTGTTTGTGCTTTGTTCCGCTAGACATCGATCCAACGCCAAGAGTGGAGCCAAAAACCTATCCCATAATCCTCTCCGCAGGCCTAAGGCAAAGCGCAAGTCTGGAGCCGCTCGCAGATCGAAGAAGATGGCTGCTCAGTCTGCGTGACCTCAGTTGTCACGTGTTCAGAGTTAATAAATGTTTAAAATATATTGAAAAATAAATAAATAAACATACAGTTGCTTTTGCCACCTTACACTGATAATGTTTAAATATTGTGTTCAATAAAAACATTAACACATATTTTTCTGTCTAGTATTAGTTTAACAACACACAAATATATATTTGTGTGTTGAAGTATATATGTATATATGTTTATATATAAATAATTAAATTATTCTGAATATAAGTGTATTTGTGTATACATGTATAAATATATATATAAATTCTGAATATAAGTGTATTTATGTATACATGTATAAATATATATATATATACATATATATATATGTGTGTATATGTATATATAGTTATCTAGTGACATAGTTGTCATTATGTTTTTTTCACTATCCAGCCCAGTCCAAACCTTGTTCCATTTCAGTTTATTTGTCCAAAAATAGTGTCTTCCCTGAAGACAGGCTAGTGATTGTGAAGTGATGAAAGCAAAGAAATATATAATATTGGTCATAATTATCTCCATAAAGCATATGATTCTTGCTTCCTGTCCCCCATATGTGTGTCCCCTTTTTGGGATGCAATCCATAAGTTGAGAAACTGACTTTTTTCACCTTGTTTTTGTGTCAAAAAATGGCATTAGCAATAGTGCGGAAAGGGACTTGCTTTAAAAGGCTGTTGAAACCTTAGGTTAAGTCTTGTTGTTCCTTTTCTTTTAGAACCTTCTCTTGGTGTTTTTGTTGCTTTCCCTAATGTATTAGTTTGGTCTTGGCCTCATGTGAGTCCATTTGCAGCAGAGTCCAACACCAGTATCACAGAAAAGATAAGGAAACCGTTTCTCCATGGGGTACAAATACGTTAAAATGTATTTGTACCACATGGAGAAACGGTTTCCTTATGTCAGTTTCTTTATCTCTCTGCCAAACCGAGGAAAATACCGATCTGTTTAAAGCGGCCACCAGATGGTAGTGTTGTAATATGTTACCATGAGAACAACTTTGAGAATGCACAACTGGCAAAGTAAAATAGGAATTTAGGAAAACCTAGTAAGGTACAAAAAGAGATTTTTTTTAGAAAGTAAAAGTTTGTTGAGCTGAAAGAATGCACTAGATCAGGGCTGTCAAACTCCATCAGAGGCCAACATTTAAAACCCACACTTAGTGGCTAGCCAAACAGCATCAACATTTCTAGAACAGTCTAGTACTGATGATATTTTTACCAGAAAAGAAGTATTAGAACAGACTGCAACAGGCTTTTCCCTCACTGAAATACATAAAAAATGAAATACTAAATATTAACATCAAGAAAATTCAAAATTTTATTAGACAAAAAATGTTGTATATGTCAACATAATGACAATAAGTCCATGTTTTTCCCCTCTGTTTTATTGCAAATAAATACAAATACTTCTATTAAAAAATGTTCATATTAAATGAAAAATCATTTTAAAAAAAACATAATGAACATGAAGTTTTTGTGCCTTTTTTTTACTTTTAAAATTCATCAATTGGGCCAGATTTTACTAGTTATTGGCCCACGGGCCTTATATTTAACAACACACATAAGGCCCTCTGAAGCTCTGGTGGGCCGTATGAAATGACGTGATGGGCCGAATTCAGCCCGCAGGCCTTGTTTATACCCCTTCAGAAAATGAAGGAAAGCAATTGTGGCAGCGGTGGGATTCGAACCCACGCCCCCGAAGAGACTGGAGCCTTAATCCAGCGTCTTAGACCCCTCGGCCACACTACCACGTTTTTCTCTAGATATTGGAGCTTATTGCAATAGGTTTGCAATTTGCAATTTGTTTTGTATGTATATATTGACACTTACTGTGCGAAGAAAAACAAATGTATTATAATGCAGAGAAGATTTTTTATTAATCTGATCTGTGCATTCGGATTTATTTTCCTATTATTTTTGACGGAATATCTCATAACCTGTCGCATTCCTCCAATTACATCTAATCTCTGGTGGTCATGGGCCACAGCTCAGCTTTCTTGGAATTGCTTCCTGCATTGAATCTGCTGATTGCAACCAATTCCGTTTGGCTCGGCCTAACTCCTAAGACCGTCCTTAATGCATCCTAATCCCCCAACGGTGAGTAATGTTTCTTAAACAGCATGCTTTGAAAACCCGCAAATATTTCAAACCTTCAAAATAGGTCAAAAGTGTTCAAAGTTGACCACGTGGTCAGAGTCTCTCCTGTATTGTTAGAAAAGATTATCGGACATGTCTTTAGTTTTAGATTATTTGGATAATGAGTTTGTAAATATTATTTAACCTCTGCAGCAGCAAATAATAAATAATAATGTTTCCTATTCTGGAGCGGTGGTGGCTTAGTGGTTAAGGAAGCGGACTTGGGTCCGGAAGGCTTCAGGTTTGAGTCCACTTTACGACTGAGGTGCTCTGAGCAAGGCATGGATATATAGATAGATGGATGGATGGATGAATAGACGGATAGATAGGTATGCCAAATGCCAAAGCTGAGACGATAGTGTCACTGGACGGATGAATAGACGGATGGATAGGTATGCCAAAGCTGAGACGATAGTGTCACTGTTACTAGCATGTCACTCAAAGTTAGGTTTCAGGTACTGTATCGGATGGGCTATAGTGTTTTGTTAGATCCTCAAATATTGTGTTAGGTTTCAGTTAGTGTTTTGTTAGATCCTCAAATATTGGCCAGTATCGGATCGAGGCTGTTCCCTAGTAAGGATCCAATTGTGACACAGGACAGAACACTGACTGATAAATAGAAAATAATGATTTTTTTTTTTTAAATAATTTTTCGCAGCATCCTGTTCATCTCCACAATTAAGATCCATCCATCCATTTTCATCTGCTTATCCGTTACTGGTATATTAAATAATACTAGATATTGTTTAGATTTCTACGATGAATGAATGAATATCCAAAGCTTATCTGAAGTATCTGAAGGTCACAGGCTGGGTTTTGGTTGTTTTCCGCTCCTGTCCTTTCCCCCCGGGTGCCACAGTGTCCCAAAAAACACCTGTGCCTCAGAGAAACCTTAGGGAGGAATAAATGAAAAAAAGACCTAGCTATGGCAAAAGATGTTGATTTCACTCCGCGGGGGGCACTTTAGCGAGGCTCTTTGAGTACGGAAATAGGTCAAAGAGAGCAGGTGTTTCATCTCCATTGAGCTAAAGCTGCGTTTGTAGCTACGCCCTGAAAGGAGGTGGATGATGGTCGGACTCCCATCATGCTTCAAAGTGGGTCGTGTGTGAGCCGCTGCTTTAATCTGCTGAGAACAAAGAGTGTCTGCCCATCACAGAGCAGGTGGCCACACACACCCACACACACACACACACAGTCGTGAATTTTTCACACAGACAGAAATGCATTTGCTAACCCATAGGTTCCAAACCTGCAATCTACCATCGTGTGGCCCTCGACTAGATTTCACTTTCACTGTTGGGCCAGTCTTTGGTTCATAAGAATATTTTCACCCTTATTTCACCTTTGACCCTACATTACGAGTCGTAATGAAGGGCAAAAAGTTCCCTCCCAAAAAAAAAAAAAAAAAATAGAAAATATGGTATGAGGACACAGTGAATGTAAACAAACCCGTTTTCTGAATATTGTTTCGGAGCCAAGTTAGTTTTAACACCATACATCGGAATGATGGAACAAGACCTTTCTTAAGAAATTTATGGGAAATGGCGACCTTTCACCGCAGTAGATCGAGAATATTGTGAATTGAGGACCTCCTATATTTTTAATCTCAATCCTATCTTCAAAATCCTAATCCTAAAACTCAAAATACCATCTTTTCTTCTTCTTGTAAACTGAACATCTGACACAGACGTGTTCCTCCAGTGAGACGAGATGTAGCAGCAGTGGCCCTCGGCTGGGGATGGACTGATGGTCGGAGCAAAGGCTGTGATTTGCAGAGGACAAAAAAAAAGACAACGTTGGCTATTTGTCTATTTACAGTTGCTCTCGGTCACATGATTTAGAAAAACCATTTGACATTTCAAACTAAAGAGTAAAAAAAACAAACAAAACAAAAAAACATTTGAAGTAGTAGTTTTCCAAAACTCTGTTGCCAAGGACAAGGACAGAAAGCAGGCTGCTAGGAAATGAGATGGTGTTATCACAGGAGGCTGCCGAGGTCCCAGGCGTGGGACGTGGGGAGCAATTATTACCATCCACTCCCTTTATCTCTCTCTCTGACACCTATTCCTTTCATATAAAGAAGAAATAAAAGCTCCTTCCTTGACGCTCCAAAAAAGGATGCAGCTGAAGGAAGGCGCGGGGTTATAGAGTACGGGGAGAAAACGCTAGAGGGAAAACCCCTCTTTGGTTGACTCCATCACTGCCCGAGTGGAAGAGAGTGCATACGTGAGAAAGATGCAGAGGTCGCTGAGGAATCGTTTCTACCGGCATCGTGGGGTGAGTACCGTGAGTGAAGATGGGATTAAGAACAGTTCCACATCACCAGCAGGACCATGTCTTAATGTGTGAGGACGTGTCTGTATTTAAATGCCTCTGGACACAGGAGCTCTGCCTTAAGTTATATTGTGAAATAAGGAATGGTAGTAGTGGCGCTTTGGCCCGGAGGCAATGTCTCTGTCATTGGTGTGGAACCCCAGGGTTCACCTCCTGGGGAAGATCGAATCCCAGTTAAGAAGGTTAACTTCAGGGGGGTTGGTACGGTGCAGTGTGATTTGGGTGGTGGTCAAGGAGACTGCTGCCCCCGCCACCCGGTAACGGATAAGCGGATGAAAATGGATGGATGGAATGTTAGTACAATGGTTCTCAAAGTGGGGGGCGGGATCCCCAGGGCATGCAAATCTATCACAAGTGGTGACATATATATTTATATATGTATCTATATATGTGTATATATGTATGTGTGTGTATATATGTACATGTATGTGTGTGTATATGTGTGCGTGTATATAGAATAGAATAGTCCTTATTGTCATTGTAACATATACAGTGATGGGAATCACAGCGTTAAAATAAACACTGTTACTAACGGCGTTACTTTTTCCAGTAACGGGTAATCTAACTAATCGTTATGACGCCGTTACCGTCACCAACACACCGTTACTGCACGTTACTTAAGTTACTCATTGAAGCTGTCATCTGACTTGGCTCACACAGACTCAGGAGCTGTAAATATGTGTGTGTTTTCTCCCCTTTGGCAAGGGGGGGAGAGCACGGGCGAGATAACCGTCTAAGTGATGATGATTGGCTAAGTCTTGGTCATTACAGTGGCTCTTGACGGTGGTTTGTCTTGTTTGAAACAATCAGCCTCCAATACAGGAAAAGTTCAATGGAATTCAATGGCCGTTAGACTTACTGGATAACAGTGCAAAAAAGAGCTGCACAACTAGCTGTATAATCAGAATCAGAGACATTTTTATTTTCACAAAAGAGGAATTTGTTTTGGTATACAGTGCAACAGGCAAATACAGTAACAGTAGGGCAGTGGTTCTCAAACCTTTTCTACTCTGTACCACCTGAGGAATGTTTACAAAGATGTTTATGATTAAATGTTGTATTAATTGTCCATGGTATGTTTCAGATTTATTCAGTTGAAAATGTTATTGTGAAAATGTGAATTTTCCCTGCGTACCACTCGAGGGGTGCGCGCGTACCACTGGTGGTATGCGTACCACAGTTTGAGAACCACTGCCGTAGGATGTAAACAGAGCAGTAGTACCATAGATAAAAAAAGTGGACGATAGATGATGATGGAGGTGTAGAAGTTCGCCATCATTGTCTTTGTCAGTTTAAAATGTTTCAGGCACAGGAAGTACAGCCTGTGTTGTGCTGAGTAGTTTCACAGTGGCAAGGTACAGTACAGATAGAAAGAAACACGTAATATTTACATACATTCCATGAGATGTTTTTAAAGCCGTTTTGCCGTTATAAATAAACTATTAAATAATTGCACATATTGCCATTGTATTGAGAAAAAAAAGAAAGCTTAAAGAGACTGATAATACTTAAGTGAAGGTCATTGTGCACACAACAAAATGTGACCAATAAGCTTTTAACCCATCAGCAAAGTGAACAGCACCTCAGTGGTAACTTGGCAGCTGGTGGACTCATTTCATGTTTTGGCCCTTATGTTGTTGCATTTAAACAAACTTCCATGAAGATTCTCAAAGTCAAGAAAAGATCCTCAAACGTCTGGTTGTCAAGGATAAGACATCAGGAAACACAACTCAAGAAGTAATCCAATTTACAAGGGGCTATCAACTCCACATGATCTTTCCTAACAGCCCTAGTGGTTTGTCCAAACACTGAAACACTGTCACTGCCAGTTTTATGTGCAGTAACTATGTTCCTGGTTCCATTTATCTGTAGATAAGAGAAATAAGATGTTTAAGATTTATTGTTAAATTGCTGTGATACACAGAGTTCCATTTGTGCTTCATCTGGAACGTCAATGTCTTGACTAAACAGAGACTATGAAAAAAATGTTAAAGCATGATGAGGTTTTTGACTTCTATCTTTATTCTTGATAGCCTTCTACCGCAAAAAAAAAGAAAAAGATTTACATTAATTAGCATAAAAAACACAGCAATACTATGCTGCCATCCCAAGATCGAGCAACAATGGTATATTACACTTAGGGGGAACAGGTTTTCACATTATACAATACGTAAAATACATACGTGAAATACACCAAAGCATATGCACACACAGTGTATAGTGTTGAAAAGGAGAGAGAAAAACATACCTGAATACAGCTTGCGGGATCAATGAATTCATTTTCTGTAACAAACCAATGAAAAACAGTTGATCATTATCTATATGTAAGCCATCTTCTTTTTTTCCTTGTATCAACTATATTTCCTCCTATAAAAATAAACAGTATTGAACATCCTATTAAAAGGCCCACGATTGCCAGGACATTGTTTTCCCCACATTGAGCATCAGTTGAAGTAGTTCCTTCTGTTGCGGTGGAAAGCTTTCTGTGTTCACACCTGCAGCCACAGAGAGACATGTTGTTCAGATGATTTTTAAAAAAATACTCATTCAGTGCATGGATCTAAGACTTCAGATTATGGCTGGGCCAATTCATTTACCATGTTGGGATCAGTACAGTATATGAATAATCTACCAATCGTGAGAGTAAAACAAGAAGCATATAAAAAAATATTCATGATTTATATATTGAAAAATATGTCAAATAGTGACTCCGACAGTGTTTAGGCCAGCAGAGAAGGACTTGATGGTTCACCACTGATATTAACACTCGACCAATAGGAAGACATCATCAGTGTTGAATGATGATAATAGATGATAATGTATGAAAGGAGGAGACTGAATTCAACACTGACAGTTCATATGGAACTCTGAACAAAGTCTGATCTGTTGAAGTCTTGGGTTGGATCATGTAGGTTTTATGTCCCATTAAATGCGTCACTTACCGTGTGTGTGGCTGACAGACAGTAAATGTACCATTAGAAAATGTCCCAGAAGGGCAGTCAGAACACTCAGTGTCTGCGGCTGCTGTTCCTGCGGGAACACACATGAACACAGATACTGTGATGTTCTGGGATAGATTGCTCTTCCTGACTTATTGTCCATTCGTAGTACAACTGTCCAAACAGATTTTTCAGTGACATCCCAGACTTAAACTTTGATTTTCTTTCTTTCCTTCTTCTTTCCTCTGTAATTTACAATACCATTATTTCTGATGTACTGTCCTGGTTGACACCTCGTGTGGTTCTGTGCTGCTGTACAGTGGTTCTCTGTCCTGTTTATACAGAAGAATCCGTCCAGAGGTTCACATGTTGTATCCTGCACCACTGTGCATGGGGTCAGAGTCTTTAGACCCAAGTCTGTCAGGATACAAAGGTGACAAAGGTCAAATGTAAAGGGTGACACCGTGGAAGTAGAACAGGAACTAACACACGTTTTAGTGGAAATAACAACAAAGACTACTGGACATTAATGTTAATTTTAAAATGATAAAAAATGTTAAAAAAATGTTGTGATTTGATGTTTTGGTGAAAGCTTATAACTAGACAATATCAGCTGTGTATCTGTTATGAGGACGACTTGTCTCTTGTCCCCTGCAGGTGGCCCTGTCTGCTCATAAAAATCACACAAACAACATTTTTTTTTTGGAGATGAACAGCATTCACCTGTACTACACAGTGTACATGCAAAGCATTCCTTCTCTCCATTATAATCATTCGTGAACGTTCCTTCGACACAGGGACTACAGGAGGTGCCCCTGGTGGCCGTGCAGTGACTTTTGGCGAAGGCTCCTTTAGAAAAGACAACAATGTGAGGTTTTAGTCCGTGTTGTAAAATGTCTGGTCAGTTCCTCTCAGTGATGGGGAGTTCCTTGTTCCTTGGGTTCATTGTTTAGTGTTTGATTCTGGGATGATCCTCTCATCATATTTCATCACTCAGCTAAAGCTTACCTGGCTCACATGTATCGCAGCACCTATCTCCACTTTGGTACTCTGTTGGGAGGCAACCTAGAGCCCGTGTAACAAGGACGATTCCGAGCACCTGTGCAAAAAAAAAAAAGAGGAAAGTGCTTCATCTCTGTAAAGTAGGCTTATATTTGGATGAGTCAGCACAAATATACATTTTGAAAAGAATCCATTAGAAAAATCTGACTTTGAGTTACAGGTTTCTATGAGGAGAGAATTTGATAAGGCTTAGGTTTAACACCAAGCAGGTAAACTGTGAATACTTTTAAACAGCAACATGTTAAACATGACTTGTTGACGTTGTATTTTGACAACGTGTTATTACTTCCTGTATTAGTCCTGTTCTGATCAACATGACAGATGAAGCGGTCATCCTCACGTTAAAATAAAGAGAGCATCTGATATAAAACTGATATATAACGTAACACAACATTATTATATTTTATTACATATACTTTTGTGGCAACTTTGTTTGGTGGTGAGCTGAGGAGTCTTCTAATGTTAACACACACACACACACAACTCAGCTTTCACTTTTGTGCTATCAGAACAATAAGAAAGTGAAAAATATCCTTTCAAAGTGACAGATTATGAAGTAATACTTTACCAACGAATACGTAAATGGCCAAAATGATTTCAAGTTTATCATGTTCACGATGGTATACTTTCTCCAACTGGGTTCGTCATCACAGTGAAATCTGTGAAACACAGACAACGATCGGTGACTAACTCAAAACAGACTCCCCGAACGATTTGTTTAAAACATGTGAATCGAGGACAAGTACCATGGATTTCGTCTTTTTCTTTTCTGTCGTCCTTTGTCCAGATTCGTTTGTATTCGTTACGTCCTTGAACAAGTCCTTGAATGAATACTTCGGCGCACTTCCTGTAAAAATAACTACATGTCGCATTTCGCAAGTGAAATGCGACATGTAGTTATTTTCCATCATAGTTCACTCCCACCCGTCCCTTTAAAGGCACATGCACATATCTGAATTATTATATTACTATATCACCATGTTGTACTTTTTTCCCCCAAAATTTCGTACTTCCCACTTTCATGGAACGCACTATAATTGAAGTGACGTCACATGTTGGCTGATCTTATAAAATGCAGTTACTCGAAATGTTCAATGAATGTTTAACATCTCACAATTCACAAAGTACGCTTTTTTTTCTTTTTTTTCTTCTTTTTGCTTAATCTTTGGTGACTTTTCCTAATTAAGTAAGAGAGCTGGGTAAACTTAAATTTACCATCATAATATCTTTTTGATGTTGCACTGTCGGATAATCATTTTCACATATGCTTTATTAGTTGGCCTGCCACCTGCTGGATTGTAGTGCATTACATACTGTATTTCACAGGTGATCTTTGTGATCCCAACTCTGAGAAATGACTTGATCATAGAACACACAATACAGAAAATACCGAAAGTGATTTGGTGTCCTTAAGTTAATATGAATAATCATTTTTATTCCTGGTATATTAGTATAGTAGTGTATAGTATAGTAATGGAGTATGGTAGCACGAAAGTAGTGATAAATAACCACTAGAGGTCAGGATAGCATCATCTTAAATCCCTCATATTTAAGTGACTTTAATTTTAAGTCACTTTTGCATCAAAGTGAAATTGAACTATTTGCCATTGTGACACACCACACCACACCACACACCACTGCACACAACGAAATGCGAGCTCTGGAAATAAATTGAATTAAATAGAATGATGTCTACATTCAGACAAATAGGTAAGAATTATGTAGAGATTTGTCATTTTAAGAAACCTACCTGTTTTGTAAAACTTCTCCAAGTATCTTGCCTTCATAATTGTGTAAATCTCTATACAACAATTTCGTCTGATCTCCCTCGGGCGATTTAATATTCTTGTCTTTTGTTGTCATTATCGATTGTTTACATCTACCAGTTTGCGTCTTTTGCCGCACAACATGGCCGACGGCGCGATGCTACATGGGTAATAAGGATTATTACCCATCTACTACCATATATAAGGGGGGAGAGGAGGGGCGAGATAACCGCCTAAGTAATGATGATTGGCTAATTCTACATCAGCCAATCGCCACACAGCCAACTAGAGACATCAGGTGGGCGGGTGTTTACACACAAACCCTGCGCATAGCAGCAGCACACGCACACAAACTCTCAGAGATGGCGAACCCGGAGTCAAAGAGGGAGACGGCGATTTCGAGGTGGAAATACAGGCGCTACTTTAACCTCGTCGAGGTAAAAGATAAAAATGTACATGTTCAGGGGACATTATGTCCCAAAGCAAAGAGTTTGTCCACGTCCGGTGTAAACAATTCAAATTTAATGAAGCGCCCCTCGACGTCACAGGCTGCTATTAAACTAGTGGCTAAACACACCATTGATTTACTGAATTAATAAATGTTTGAGGTAGAACATAGACGGGTACAAAAACTGTTAAGCTCACATTGTTAAACTGTTTACTTTATTCTTGAAGTACAGTATGTCCACCAGTTGTCTGAAGTTGTAAAAGTTTCATTCATTTAATTCACACCACAGCGAGTTAGAAACATGGTTAAAATGTTTACTTTCATGAAGAAGAAAATACTTGAAGCATAGCTGTACCAGTTGTGTTCTGTTGAGGTGCAATAAATGAAAACCTGTTCAGGTACCTGTCTTTGCTGTTCTACTCTACGCACCTGGCTTGTGAAACCCACTGAAAAAAAATCCAAATTATTTGACATTTTTAAACTTAAAATGACAACGAAAATGTAACGCAATAGTTACATTCCCTGGTAACTAGTTACTTTTATAGTGGAGTAACTCAATTACTAACTCTAACTCTTACTTTTTGGGAGAAGTAACTAGTAACCATAACTAATTACTTTTTCAAAGTAACGTGCCCAACACTGAACATATATGTATATACGTGTGTACATATATGTGTATAGATGTGTATACTGTAAGTGTGTATATATGTATCTATATATGTGTATATATGTATATATATAAAATTGATAAATTATTACATGTCTTTATATTCGGATTTTCCCTAACAGTGTCACATGACTTTTTTTTTTTTTTTTTTTTTAGTTTGGATGTGTTGTGCACAGTGTTGAGGAGACTTTAGTGTGTTTTCAGGAGAAAGGGAGAGTCTGGTGATACTCACTGACACTCATGCTGCTCCGTGCGCACTCACACACACACATACTACAGTATATACAAGCAGTCCTGGTGATTTTCAAAATGACACAGTTTAAGAGAAGTGCTGTTTTAAGGCTAGAGACCGGACTTTTACTCCGTGGCCAAGATTTCAAAATTAGCCCGGTTCTGCCTGAGCGTCCGTCCCAACTATTTATCTTCAAAGTAGCACAGCCTTCGTAAACTTGGATCCAGAACCAGAGTGTCATTTCTCACACATTAACAAGCCCTCCCTCCCTGGATGATTTTACACATGTCACCGTTACCGCCCACCAAGTCTAATATAAATAAACCACTGCAGTCATTTAGAAAAAAAAAAAAGGAAAGAAAACTCGGCGCAGATCCCACAGTCCGGCATTAAGCAGCACCAGTGCCCGACAAGGTCGTACCACTCGTGGTCTGAATCCGAAAAGAGGCTCAGGAGCTGTGGTTATGGAGCTTGGCAGCTAAGGCCATGACCGCCTAACCTTTGACCCCTCCTTTCTGAAAGTGGAGTATCCTGATTGGCCGGGTCATCTGAAGAAAATGCAGATTCTGGCGTCTGGACTGGTCAGTGCGTCCTCTGAAATTGTTTTGCGTGTGTTCATATTTTCCTCTTCTGTCTCTCTTTCGTCTTTCAGCATTGCACGTACAAACATCCGATTTCTCATGCGAGAAAGCTCAGAATTCTGGGAGTTTTCGCCCTCTTATCTTCAGAGGCAGCTCATCATTTGTGGAAGCTTATTTTCAGGAGGGTGGTTTAGAAGAGGTCAACACGGACGGTTGTGTTGGCCACCTGAGAGGATGAGTTTGTCTGACTATATAAGGCCTGTGCTCTCTCTCCTCCGTTCCTCCAGTCTGGCCTGTTTTACTGTGGAAACGTCTCGAGGGAGACCTTGTTGCTTTGTTTTCACCACAGAGAATCAGAGATGTTTATCTGCAGAGTTCCTCTTAAATGATGTGAGACGTGGACGGGGATGTGGCCCGCACGTAGCTCGGAGAGAGAGTGACTGCGAGCATGTTGAAAAGATTTACAGGAAATTAGAAAAAGAAAAAAAAGAAAGGGGAAAGTGGGATCTGTCCTTGAGGCTAAACCTCAATAAGGTATTTTTAGCAACCACTTTAGAACAAAAGAAGCGAAAACTTGGCGGCAAACTCAGAATCTGATTTCATTTGGTTTTAAACAGACACCCACTGCAATTAACAAACTTGCCCTGGAGCTTTTTGGGTCTGTTTTTCACTGGAAGATTCGATGTAAAGATAAATCCTCGGACTACACGCCGATGTATGGAAGAGGCAAAGAAATATCATTCAGCTCTGTGGGAGCTTTGCAGATACTTGTAGTTTCATGTTTTACCACTGATGAAATCTGCTCTGATCAACGAGAAACATGTGGCGATTAACAAGTGAAGATAGTACTCTGACGGAGCTAGTACAATATTATTTCTTTGAATTTAAACAGCTACGGTGCTAAAAAAAATGTTTATATCTAAACAGCCTAGCAACTAGCATTTGTGTGTAAAATTCTTTCATTTAGCTGGATCCCATAACGCACGGGTGTCAGACTGATTTTAACTGGTTGGCCACGTCAGTAATACAGTTCCCATTGACGGACCGCGTTAACTCCGTAACATAACAATGCATGTTTCTGCAATTGATTCTTATTCATTTAAGTTACAAATTTTGTACAGTGTTTTGTGTAGTGAAAAAACTTAATTTATTAAGTTACGAAACTTAACAGCATGGACTTTATTATAAGGCAATTAAGCTCTTTTCAAGCTCCCGTGAGCCACATGAAATGACTCGGCGGGCCGCATTTGGCCCACGGGCCTTGAACCGACCCCAAGTATCAATGTAGTAGTTTTTTTTGTAGATGGTAGTATTGCCGTGTAAATCCATGCCGGAACATTCTCAACTCCACAGAACTTCATTTATCCGAGCTTTTCCTAGTATCTACTGTTGAAATCTGCATTCTGTTGTTCTGAACCTCTGACATGGGCCATAAATTGAAATCTAATTTAAACTAATCTAATCTATTCAATCCAACATTTTATTCCGGTGGACCAGAATTCCAAAACACATCACTATCCTGTTCATTAGGTATCGGATCGGACAGAATGTTCTTTTTGATGTTCGATCTTGAAATGTTGACCAATATTGGACCGATACCGACCCCAAGTATCGGATTGAGCCATTCCTAGTATCTACTCTTATAATCTATTCAATGCAATATTTAATACCGAAGGACCAAAATTCTAATAGGAATTTCACAAATTATTTTTCAGATTATTTAGCAAACCTGAATATAAGCACCCACTAAATTTAGACAAAAAAAACAAAACAACAATTGTACATATATAGGCTGCACTTCTCTATAATCCGCAGGTGTCCACGTTGTAACACGGAATATTTATTTTTCCGACCAGTGCCTGTAACACGGCTGGTTACACGTTAGCTCTTTCCTGCTTCGGCGTGCCCGACTGTAATTGGAATGTACAGAATTAATTATTTTTCAGACTGTGGTATGAACTTCGTTATCCCGTAGAAACGACAAAAAAAACAAAACAACAATTGTACATATATAGGCTGCACTTCTCTATAATCCGCAGGTGTCCACGTTGTAACACGGAATATTTATTTTTCCGACCAGTGCCTGTAACACGGCTGGTTACACGTTAGCTCTTTCCTGCTTCGGCGTGCCCGACTGTAATTGGAATGTACAGGGGAGACTTAGTGATCACTAGCGGTATGAACTTCGTTATCCCGTAGAAACCCAAAAATTAGACACAGGGTACAAAGCGTGTGAAAAAAGTAGTGGCTTATAGTCCGAAAACTACTGTAAACCTCGTCTATCGCTGCCCTGGTGACCAACGCTAACACGGCTAGTAACTAAAAACTTACAACCAAAACAAAGCCATTGTCCTGTCGCTGCAGTTACGGAGGCCACGCTACATTTATAAACTCCGACTTGATATAAACACTGTTGACAGCGGTGTGCATAAATAGGGTTCTATGTTTTGTTTCTCTAGCGTTATATAAAAACCGGTTTGGATTTTATCCTCTGATAAATAGTTCTGCTCCTCCACCAGGTTTGGATAAAGCCCGCGAGTCCTGCTTGGAAGTTATTACTTTTTTTAATGGGAACATGTAAGCAAAGGCCATGTGCTTTTCATCACTGCAGGCATGACAACTGCAGGATGAAAAAAAACAAAAAACAAACACAGAAAACCCCTAAATGAAATGAAAAACTCAGATGAAAAGTGCTTCAAACAGCAGGAGATGTTTTCGTGTGGATAAGTGTTGCTATAAATGTGTGTTTTTGTTGTTTCTGCTGCTCCTTTTTCCATCCATCCAGCTATTCTTTTGCCGTGGCATCAGTCATTTCTGTTGGAAGTTACGTGAGTCACTTATTCCCTGCAGGGATGACAGTGAGGGAAGCAAGTTCCCATTGTGTTCTTTCCCAAAATTTCCATTTCAGGATGTAAGCTATTTCAAGCTGCAGGCGGTCAAAAACGAACACTCCGAGAAAAAAAAAAAAACCCGTAAGATGCGATGTAAATGAAAAAGCGAAAATCCAGAGAGGAAATAGAAGAGCAGAGTTATGGAAACAGATGTGGAAAAGCTGCGGCACGCTTCATTTAGCTCGTTCAGTTACATTACATCAGTGGTTCTCAATTATTGTCACGTGCCCCCTTGGGGTCAGGACCCCTCCGACCCATTCCCCTATATATTAAAATACTATTAAGAACCTGATAACATGTATATTTTTATCTGTACAAACCACTGTATGAGTTGCTGCCCCCTAGTGACTGGAGGCTTGTTATCATTCAAGCATTACAGCAGTGGTACACTTATGTCCAGGCCCATTATTTGAGAAATACTACACTACATGCTTATTGTGGCAGTACGTAATTGTAAAAAAAAAAAAAAAAAACAACAAACAAACACAAAAACGCAGAAATGACAGATTTTTCTCAATATACTGGGATCAAGTTTTTTTTTAATTTTTTTTTTTTTTAACCTGTGGAAATTTTGGATACGAGGTATGGGATAGCCTCGATGACGTCCCGTGTCATAAATGCATGTTGTATATCTAGAATCTAAGAAGGTTTCTCCACTATATAAATCCCATATCAGTCAGAAAACACCTGATGCAATAAATCTGTAAATGAGTGAGAATAGACAGAAGGCAGAGATTGGAGGTGACATTGTAAAAGTGTTGATAACTCACTGTGGCCATGACCCGAGCTGTTCCCGAGAGTGGAAGACAAGGATTTACTGAAACAAAGCCTTATCACTAATAACACAGGACTTCCAGACAAGGGCTCAGGAGTTCAAAAGGTAACAGTGATGTTACATAAGCCTCTCCACGTCTTGGTATGTTCCTATACTGCAGCGTTTATGCTCAGCAGAGATCAGAATGTGTTTATACTACAATTCAAAGTGTACTTTAAATTAAACCTAGGTCCCCTATGTACTGTACTGTACTGTATGTACTACAACATAAAGTGTTCAAGTCTAAGCTGAGCTATCGAGTTACCAAAGGCAACATTTTACTCAGTTCATTTCACTCCAGTGCCAAAAATTCCAACAAATAAAAACTTTAAAACTTGGTCTAGATTCTTTAATTTTACTTTTTTGTATTTTTAAGAAAATTAAGAAATTATTATTTAAAAAACAACAAGTCATCACAAGGCTAAACGCTCAATTTGACATAGGTTAATGTCACCAAGGATGCCATCTGCTGGTAGATGACCTGATGATCTATAGATTTGTATTTAAATAATAAAATAAACAAATACCACAAAGTCATCGGGGGCACCACAATGGATAACTCGGCCTAGAGAAACAAAGGCAAAAATAATAATTCTACCAATTACGTTTTGTTAAACAGCTAATAAAAATTGTGTCTTCCATTGTCAGATACATTTGCGGCACATAAACCAGTCAATTTTGTTCCTGTTTTCCATAAAACGGACGGCCTCAGTCCATTTTGATGTCTTTAACAGATTCATCAGAACTCTTCACAATCAGGGGCAGCCATCTTCTTTTTAGACGAATGAGCTCCAACTGGGCGCTTCTGTGAGTTATAAAATAAAAAAAAAAAACGGCTTCATCTTGGAGAAAATGTGATTTAGATTAAATCTGTGGAGGACTGTGGCCTTAACATATCAGTAAGATGCAGGAAATGAGAGGAAGGATTTAATAAGGTTTTCTAGGGTTTCCTTAGCTCATAAACCAGTGGTGATATACACAGTAAGATGAAAGGCTGGCGTGTGGGGACCCTGCACCATCCACCTATGGCAGATGGAGGACATGGATGTGTCTGTAGCTATGATTGGCTAGCCCTATCACAAAGGCAATGGTGTTTTGTTCCTGAAGGCCATCCGTGAATCGAAAAGTTCGAAAATTGTTCGAAAAATTTTCCCCATTGGAAAATGAATTAATCTGTTCCCGGATGACTGCTTCTTCAAACTTGGTTAACAGTATTTTGTGTGCAAGTTCATACATGAACCAATGACAAAAAAGATAAACATAACTGAGTAAAAAATAAATCTATAAATAGGAAG